TACCATTTATGACTAGAAAATTTGATATTTTTATATTATCTGTATAAAAAAAAAAAAAAGTTATTTTATGATTAAAATGTTTAGAATTTGTTTTTATTTGGAAGTGAAGATAATATAAAAATAATAATGTTTTATGTTCTGTCATAAAAAGTTAAAATTGTTGAATCAAATACAACAATTTTGTTTTAAAGTATTTGAATTAGGTGCTTTACTAATTAATATAATACATCTAAGRAAAATTACTGTTTGCRCATTCGCACGGTATTCATAATATATGAAACAAAGATATTGTACGGATTAAACGTGAAAATATAATGTGATGATAAAACCTTTGAATAAATAATTAATTAAATTATTCAATGACACCGAATTCATTTTTGAGGTGTAACCATTAAAGAATTGACATTTTATTAAAATCTTTATTCAGTCTGGGAACTTAAAATATTATGTATTTTAAAATGTTTTATGTGTATCCAATGTTCATTTTAAAAGATGATAATGGTAACAATTATATTGTCAAGTAGTGTTTATATTTAAATTATAGATTAAATATAATAATGTAACAAAAAAACTCTTAAATTATCCAGCTATTAAGTAGGTAAGGATGTCTATATAGCTATTAAGTATTMAAAACTTAATAAACTGTAATAAATCTATATATATAAAACTGAAATCAAGCAAAAGAGGAAATCTTTGTTACGGTTTGGCTTCGAAACTTCTTATCCAATTGTCATGCAGTTTTTTTTTAAATGAAAGAGGATATCACGGAGCAGGTTTTAGGCATCAATAAAGTCCGATAATGTTAATTAGTTATCTATACATATAAAATCCAAAAACCACTGACTCACTGATCGCTGTATCTCAAAAACTACTCAACGTACGGACATTAACAAACTGTCAATATGTCGTAAGTGTTGTTTTTCTTGGATTTTCTGTTACCTACTCTACTGAGTTTGCTTTTGTCAACTGATACACGAATTAAATTCGTATATCGTATTTTGTGCAGAGTGTTAAGTTACCTATGATCACTAATTATTGCATGTGACACAATAATTTATATTTKATATGCCTCCTATACGACGAAGCAATTTAGGTAGAAAAACCCGGAACGCGACGACCGAAATGAACGTGAAAGAATTCGGATATCACAAACGCGTGAAGCGCGAGCGCGACATTCAACTAATAATCGCGCAAGTTTGAATCGAGCTACTTTCAGTTACGATGTGCCAATTGACTACAGTAACTACCACTGTGTTGTTATTGGTTCTATGAACTCGGATTGCTCATATTGTAAGGCTTTGAAATACAAAAACGAAACCAATGGATTGTGTTGTGCAAATGGTAAAGTAAAATTGATACCATTGGATCCACCACCAGAGCCATTGCACTCATTGGTTTCAGGAATAGGAACAGATTCCATACACTTTTTGRCAAATATCCAACAATAATATTTATMTGGAAAACCCATGTTTCTCACATGGTCAATTGTATGTTGCCTGTTCCCGTGWTAGGAAACCATCAGACTTGTTTGTCTATGTGCCAGGTAATCAAACAAAAAACATCGTAWATTACAAAGCACTATACAATGAAAATAAAACKGATTTTTGTTAATAATTATGATTGACATGATAAACAATAAAGCGATTACTTACTTTTAAATGCTTATATATGTTTTATTTAATTATTTTTTATTCAYACCGCCCTATCACCAGGGTGACRGTTCTGTTCAGGAGAATTTTTTGCCCGGACAGAACGAGTACGGCGACGGGGAGGTGATACAAATTAAATTAAATAACAAATACAATTGAATACAGTTTGAGTCATATGGAGATGGTACATTTAACGGGCAATGAAGTGCACGGGATCAGCTAGTATAAATATATAAATTATAATTTATATTAGTCAATACTAAATTAGTAATTGTGCTGAAACAATATTAATACAGTACGGTTATGAATATAACTAGTTGGTGAAATTAATCATACATACCTACACCAAAATGAAAATTGCAATCATAGATCATGATTGATTTAGTTTAGTCTGGCTTTTATTTTCATTCATAAATTAACATTAATAATATGTTTTACATTATWAGTAAAATAGTATTATTATGTTGGACATTCGAATTAATGTATGAGTGCGCTTATAAACATTCATAACAGATGATTTGTTTTTTGCTTGACACTGTGCGTTGTAAGCTACAGCACTAACAGGGAAAGACATCAGTAGGCGTTAAAGAACGTAAATTATTCAAAGCACAATCGTCAATCGTATAATATCATCGTGCCATAAATTGAGGAAATTATACAAATTATCATCAAAATAAATAAAAAATAACCAAAAAATAAAAAAAAAAACGGAATATTTATCCGACCGGCTCTTTGAGTAATAGTAATGGAAAAGTTCATGAAAAAAAAACAAATATTATTATTTTGTTTACCATTTTAAAGTTTTAAAGTATACACATGTCCAATTAGCTATTAGCCGATATTAAATGACTAAGATGATATTTTATTATATAGGTATTTGTCTTGAATCAAACTAGTTGAAACCTTTTTTTGATTTCGCCTAGTTTTGTTTACATTAATAAAATATGTTTTACGTTATTATTAAATTGGACAGTTTAACTAATATGATACTTCAATCTGTTTATGAACATTGATCATAAATATATTTTGTTCTCGTCACTGCTATACCAACAGGGAAGTACGCCGCGCTGGTAATAACGTACAATTATCGTATAGGTATACATATTCACATAATATATTGTCATCGTGGCGTAAATTGAGGAAATGATGGGTACAATTTTTCAACGAATCCGAATGGAAGAAAAAAACGAACGACATTTTTCCGACTGATTCATTGCGTAATAAAATGGAAGTACCACGAACGACGTGATAATGTTGTGTTTTAATTACCTCTTATATATACATAATATATACACATTATGTTATCGAGCAGCAGCAAATCGTTTGATTCCTCGCTCGATGTTGATTGCGATTTCCGCTTGCATCGTGTAAACACAAACATATAACAATACCTATTTATTATACATTTCTACACATCCATTACCGCCGTTACGCAAATCGATTGTCACGCGGAGAGTTGCCACTTTTTTTTGTCTCAATTGACTCGGCGTCAGCATAACCTCTTAAATCGTGTACACATGTCGCACTGCCTATTTATATTATACTGCAGTACACATGGTAAATTGCATTTTAACTGTCCGGCCGTTATTTAACTTTCGTTTATCTATATGATAGTTAGGTAAATAAGCAAGAAATTATGATCAGGTAGGTTTACCATTATAATATTTAATAACTAAAATAACTTTGAATATTCATAAATAAAAACACATACCTAATATATTATATCTATTCAATATGCGTGTTATATTGGTATATTATATAAAAACGCTCCCGTGTGCTCTGCTCGTCTGAAGCAATCAAATCGTCTACCCAATTTACTACTCTCCAATCTATGGGGACTTAGTTGTGTTTATATTGATTTTTACTGGTGGTAACCGATTGCTAGACGCTCAAACATAGCTTTCAAATTAATACTTTTTGATTTTTATAAAAGCACAAGACTGGACCATATCCAGTACTTTCAAGGTTTAAAAAAACATCATACTTTCGAATCCGTAGTATCTGCAGTTATATATAGTTCATACTCTATACATAATAGATTATGTTTAAGTTGCATTAATGAAGACACGTTTTCAGTAGGTACCTATAAATCGCAATAATCGACAACTATGATGCCAAATCGAGGGTACTAACGTCACTATGAATAACATACTATTAATTTCTTTGTTGTTAATAAATTTGCTAATTTGAGCTTTAATGAATTTTATTTTTATTTTATTTTTTGTTGTGAGTGGTAAAATCGAATTGAACTCAAAACTATTTAATTCTTATTAATTTCGAACTGCACTTTTAAGTTTTCGTTTTAATTTATCAAAAAATTACTAACTAAACCTCTAAAATATTATCTCCACTGTTTTGTAACAAGGTATTTATCTAAATTAATTACATTCTAAATGTCAAATTATATTTACATTGTATAATTTCTATACTAAAATGTGAAATATTAATTTGGGACGTGACTTACCTGCCGTTAATATAAGCAATTTTCATCAAAAACATTACACGCGTACTGCACAGCCTATGATACATTAAATAAAATAATAATATAAAATATGTTCTATGTGGTATCTAGTCGGAACTCAAATAATGCATTTAATGCACATACTGACTCTGCTAATGTTTTTAGCAACTCTGTAGTCGATGATTAAATGGACTAATATCTTCACATTATCTCCAAAAGAAGCAATAGTCACATGGCGTCCGTTCAGGTGACCTATAGGAAACCAGGTGGTGCAACGCATTATGGTTCATATTGAACAGCCCCGTGGTACGATTATATAATAATAATACGAGTATACTAGGGAGTAGCAAGTGATTAACTCGTCAGTATCGGTTTTCTTCCTCTACAAATTTTGGACGTAGAACTTTTCAAAAGTTACAGACTAACAACTTAGGGTAGGTATTGTATATACCATATTATATATATATATTATCTATAGTCTTTAGTTATATAATACATATTATAATATCTTTTTTCTCAGCGTACACTGAGTCAAAAGCTTCGCGAACTTTCAATCGACTATGACGCCGGGACCAGCGTATATAATATATACATATTATGTAGAATAAAGGTCGCAAGTAAGTTGTTAACGCTATTTGCTTCATGATAGTTGCTATGGTTGCAACCACTGTAAGTATATTTAAAAGGTAATCACAAAAGTATTTTAGATACTGTTGTATTTACGTTAACATATCGATCTCCGTCGACAAAAAAAAAAATAAATACGCGTGTAGATTGGATTCAAGTGTATATAGATATAGATGTTTTACTTTAATGTTTCACAAAAACGTAAATCATGGACACAATATAATAGACATACAATAATATTAATAATAATAATAATAATAATAATAATAATAATAATGGTAATGGTTTAGTTTTTATAATATAATATAATATAATGTATATAATTAAGTAAAAAATAATGATGAGAATGTGCTAGCACAAAAAAGTATATTCGAAAACAGAACAGGCTGAGCGCCCAGTGAGCGGTATTTCCGGGGACGACGGCGACGGTGGTCGAAAAGTAGGCCAAAGTGGTTGTGTGTGGGAACGCGTGGATGGCGGTGAAAGGGGAGGCCCAGGGTGGCGGCGACGCGGCGTGTGAGATACATTTAAAAAAAAAATGCGTGGAACGATATGAAACTCGCTAAGATTGATATACAGGTAAGTAAATTGGTCGTAGTTGGTATATTATATTAAATACCCGGAAACAATAATTATTGAATGACGTAAAGTCGATATGGTATAATAATTATGATAGCAGTGTACGCATAATAATACTTGCGTGAAATTGTGCCCACATCGTTTTGCGAGCGGATTTTCGGTTCGCCGCCGGTCGGTCGGTCTATCGCGGTTGTTCGTTCGATATCCGCCGCCACCACCGCCAAAGTCGTGGTGGTGTTCGGTGACTCGAGGGTGGGTGAAATCCCCTCGTAGTCATGGGCTCGTTATATATGACCGACCCGCCTGCCCACACGCGCAACCTACGACACTACCGCCACCAAAGCCGCCACCAAAGCCGCCTCCTAAGTCCTAGACACGCTCGCGCGCGGAAGAATGATTTCAGAAGATTTATTTATTTTTTATGGATTTTATTCTTGCGATTTAGTCGGGTGACGACGGCCGGATGGCCGTGAAACGGGAACGATACGAACACGCGGGAAAGACGACAACGACGATGACGAGAAATAAAATCATTCGGGCGACGAGCATGGAGGCGTTTCCCGGTGATGATAGTAATGATTGTATCTGCGGTAATCGTTCGGCAGGTATTCGTGACTGTTGTACAACCGGCCCATGTTGATGCCTGACATGTCGTGTAGGTTGGGATGTGACGAATGGTAATCGTAGTGCAGGTCCCGGTGATGCGCCGCCGGGAAACGATTCATCGACCGAGTCTGTGTAACACATGAAAAACAAAAAAATATTATTATTTTAAACATCTCGTTTCTCTTAGAGAATATTATTATAATATTGACATGATGCACGCGCATCAGTTCCAAATCGTGTGTGGCTAGCTTTAATATTAGTGAATTGTTGACCAACTCAAACTTTATTAGATGAGCAAAAAGGTACCAATATTTTACATAAGTCCTACAAATATTTTACATTACCCGCTTAGAAATTAAAATATCTTATACATCCAACTAGATATCACGATAGACAATAGTGACTAGACAATTATGGAAAATATTTAATCTAACAACAACAAATTGGAAAACATAAAATTTGATATGTTATGCGTAAATAAAACGGAGACACACTATAGGGACACCATAAAATAACAAACACTTTCGAATAGAAGACAAAATGTCAGGTATAATTGTAGGTTTTGCTATATATATATAATATAATAATATATTATTATGCTGCGATTCCGTCTGCTGCAACGCGTCAGTGGCGTGGTCACTATAATTTTTTCTTTGTGGTGAGAAGAAAAGTAAAATTATAATAACATAATATTATATTGCACTGTCGAGAGACGCAGAATTCACAACTGTGTCTTTTTTTTAAATGGATTGAACTTGTTTCGATAGTCGTATAACGAAAACCTCACCAGCAGTATGTTCAGAACTCCAATCGAATTGTTTTTGACTATACCTTTCAATCTCGCAGTTATTATTTTAAATAATATTTTTTTAAAGCCCATAACTTTTTATGAGTATTTATTACTGTGTGAAATAATTTTTCTCAGTATATAATTGTTTGATCCCGTTTTTGAGTTTCTTCAAATAAATTTAGCATTTTATTTTTCTTAAGATATTTATAATATTATGGATTAGGCAAGTATGTTAAAAATCTAATGAAAATCTGAAACAAGTAAATTACATAAAAAATAAATTGTACTATCGCCTATCGAAAAAATCAAAAGCAACTAGTAAATTATTTTCGTAAAATTCAGAAGTATCTATAAAAATAAAAATTACATATAAGAAATATTAAATAATAATTTACTTCTCAAAAATAAAAATGTATGTGGAAGATATAAACAAAAATGAGTAGTAATGTTTACTAGTTAGAAAATCATAAAGGTATTTTTTTTTTGGAGTTTTCTAAAAGATTACAGAATTTTTTTTATCTAACATTTATTTTTATTTTTATTTTTATAATTTTGTGTGCCTATATGAATTGCTACACAGTGAATTTTCACAAACGTGAACCGTTTTGAAGAAATACATTATTTACTTTCATCGAAAATTGCTTAAATATAAATTTGTTTTTCCTCGTGGATTAACTTATCAATATAACGTTCTTTCAGCACCTGTTTTATTTGATTTTGATGAACTTTGTTCATATCAATTACACAAACTCGTTTATAGTACAAGTTTTTCAAATAACGACACAAAAAATATTATCTTTTGTGCAATAAATTGAAATTTAGGATAATATTACTTTTATGCAAATATATAAATGGTAATTTATGAAAACCCACCTAAAATTAGGTCACACGCGGAGGGATCAGCAAGTCATCAGTGCTGGTTAATTAAAAAAAAACAAATAGATTTTTTTTGTTTAAATTAACGTGTTTGTAATGTTTGAAATAAAAAATTACAACAATTGTATAAACACCGAGAGGCCGTTTGATTATAATACTTAAACGTAATTAATGTAGGTACCTATGTCATACTGCTGCAGTGTTAAGATCGAATAAAAATTCCAGAACTATTTTCCTATTGATTCGAAGACGAATCCTGACAAATCACAGTTACACATATTATTATCAATTTATCATATAGGTACTGGCTTTGTATTATAAAATAAATTATAAAATAATATAATATAACACATAAACATTATTTATTTAGGGGTGTATATTTATGGAGGATAATATTTAGACACAGACTTATCTTTTTTTCACTATATTATAAATACTAATCATTTGCCAAAAACAATACCTAATGGAATATCCATATTATGCGTCATAAATGTTTTAAGAAATTTTTATTAGAATTACGATAAGTGTAATATTGCAGTGATGATACACAATTGAATGATTGAAAATACGATTATTAGAATAACGGATGATGAAATAACTATTTCTTTCTTTATACAACTTGAAATGATAAAACAATCGTGTTCAATCCGTAGCATGAGGGTTAATAATGTAAAACCATAAACAAAAATAAAATAATTTATTGATAACTTTACCTTGAAAAAGAATGTTCTATAATTTTAAATTATTATAAACTTAAAAACATTTATATTTTTTTTTCATTTGTAAGTTTGTCAATGTTAGTTTGTTATCCTAAGTAAAGTGAACAACCAAAACTTTAATTTTTCATCCCCTTGAGAAAATTTAAATGCTAAATACGCCCCTGAGAATATGATGTATGCTAATTAGTAGGTACCTAACATATCATTTTTGTATTATGTGAGATGTATTAATTCCAGTGGCCAGATTTGCATAACATTCATGAAGGTATTATAATGTAAAGGAATTATAGTAGTTCCATATTATAATGTTTGAAATTTAAATATTACATTTACATTTCTCATATAAATTGAACTTTTTGATTAAATATAAATCTAGAAAATACAATTTTATGTAAATGATAATGATGATATGATGGCCTTCTCAAATCTTAAATGTGATATCTCTCATTAAAATTTCGGTTGATGGTGATGTGGATGTCCAATTAAAGTTTGTAACTGTATACTATTATATTATGTGTAAACCACATAACTTAATATTAATATTGAGTAATATTTTTTTTAAAGTTACGCTCATATTAACCTAAGGCATAGTTATTTAACTAATCCATTGAAAAAAAAAACAGAAAACCATTTAACATATTTATTTAACATTTTTAATAAAATAATGTGTGGATACCAATATTATTTTAAATTTAATTGTGAAATTGAAGCAATTTCAGACTTTGGAGTTGTGTCGACATAACATATATTATGCAGCGGAGGAGCGGAGGAGGTGGACGAGATGACAAATTGAAAATTTCATTAAAGACAATAATATATTATTATTATTACTATAACGACATAGGTAGATACATATTAAGTACATACAAAATTTACGAGACTGTCGGATCCCTCCCGTTGCGCATTATTGGATCAACTTTCGAACCCACATCTACCACCGTGGTGACCATACATCATACATATATCTATGCTATGGTATTTGTATTATAATAGTTATATATTATTTACATGCGATATTAATATGATATTATGTATATACACGATTACAATATGAATTCAGGAGAGCGAGTGACCGGTCAACCGACCGATGATTTGAGATGCAACGACCAGCTGAGATCGTCAAGTTTCTCTGAACCAGAGAACACGATTTTTCACTTAATCGACTAATTATAAAGGAATTACGATCATTTCAGCATTTGACTTAAGAAGTTTATTTTTTTTTTTTTTGATGCGGTACATTTTATAGTGAATATAGTTTATAATATTTATTCTGACTTGTTTTCAAAAGGTTTTTTATAATAATATGGCTTTATGCAAACTATAATTTTTTTTTTTCATATTATTTTTTATAAAATATAAGTTTCTAAATACAAATATGAAGTATATTAAATGAGACATCTTCATTGTAATATTAAAATATGACAAACCGATTATAAAATATAGACTACTGCATCTGCATGACACACTACCTGTATTATTAAGTGTATGTGTGGTATGTAAAAAAATACTTGAACTTTTATACTCCAAACAATCATTTCGTCTCAATTCTCACGAATTCCCTTTGGCACTGCCGGCAGTCCCTTAGAAAACCTATTGCACGCCGAGGTCGATCTGTCAAAGTGGCACAAGTGCACACTGAATAAAATGCCTTTTCTTGTCGATCTCTTCGATATTTTGTATTACATTTTCAATTTAGTATAGGTATCTAGAATCAGTGAGGGATACGCATTCGAAACACCACCCTCCCCAACTTGTAGCATAACGTCATACCCATCCAAACCCGACCTAATTCGACCCAACTCTCGCAACGACAGTATAATAATATCAATAATATATTATTATATTAATATCAAGCTGACCATCGTATATTATGACTTACCCTCATCGAAGTGTGCCGAATGGTGTACGCAGGCAGACTGGTGGGCGGCGGTGGCGGTGGCGCGGCCAATACGGGCTCGGGTGACATTCCCGGCATTGACGTGTCCAGCGTGTACGGTTCCGGTGACCACCCGGCCGTCAGCCACCTGGCCACCGTGGACATGCTGGTGCAGCAAGCGTCGGCGGCCGCCTGCCGAAGTCCTCGGTGCAGCACCAGGAACAGCATAGCGTTGACGAACGAATGGCCATTGGCCACGTGCAGCGTCACCTGCAGCAACGACAGTACGTCGACGGTATCGTATTAACTATTGTCAATGGTATTGAAATTATTGATATACCGATTAAGTTGTCGGAATTTTATTTTTTATAAAATAGAGACTATACATCATATTCAAGCAATTATTGTTGTACCAACAACTTCGCCTTTACGTATTTAACGTTTTCAAAATTTTTTTTTACACAAATATAAATCATTAAGGAACAACGTTTATGAAGTTGATTGAAGAAAAATATATTCCAAAGCATAATATTTTTCTACATTTTTTTAAATTATTTAAATTTTAGAATAGTAGTTTATTAAGTGTAACTTTATTTTGTTAATTTTAGTTAAGTACCTACCTATACCTAAATAAATAAATCACAACATTTAATAATATTGTTTTTCTGGTCAAATTTAGTCATTAAGGTGGATGGACAATACTAGTTATAATGATAATTAATTATTATGAATTATGATTATGAGGGCTGCTTTTTTCTGTTAATTTTTTGAAGATATCACAAGTTCGATCAACAATATTGTATTTATATAACCACTCACTATAATATATTATATACTTTAAATTTAATAAAACAATAGTATATCACTTGTGATAACACTATTATAGTGCATTACGTACAAAAATTTTTAATCTCGCAAACTTCTATACTTTTTATACTTTCATTTTGAATATAATATATCATTTATATTAATTTTTGATGAGCATCATATCGCTTTTGGATAATCTATGGATACTGATTTTATATTTTGCATTATAAACTAGTAGCCACTGATATGTTTATTTTTATTTTTATTAGTTAAAAAAAAATAATTTGAGCTTGTTGGTGTTATCATTTATTCGTTGGGTAAAACAGAATTTTCCAATGAGTATTAATAATAATAAACGTATAAAACTACAATAGATTTTGATTGTTATTCAATCCAATTCATGCTGTACAATATAGATATTAGTATCGAATGTAAATTAATTTACTTTGTTATCTTTACAAAAATAGCCATAGTTAAAAACTCTCATATTCAATATTTTCTTATATTTAAAAAAAAATGGATAATAGTTTACTATAATAGTCAACAGTTTATATCACGTTAAATTCACAGACTTTATTATTCCTTATTTTCTATTTTTATTAGTTACTGTTATCGTTGTATTTTAGTGATAAAGGATTATCAATATTTTCAATGTCTGGAATTTTTTTTAATGAATTTACAACTACGTAGTTGGTTTCGTTTATTTGTAGAGCTATCAAAGAGACTTGAGTATTTGTGAGCGACCGATAACATATTATTATTATAACGAGAAAGCGACATTTTAGGGTAACTTTAGACTGTTTAATATACTTAAATAAAAATATAAAATTTAAAATGGCCAATAAAATACATATTTTAACAATCTTCTAATGTTCATGGTTACAACTCTATGCTGTACCTACGCCTATATAATTATTATTATTTATCATCATTAAATATGTATACATCAAATCACGGCAGTTATCTGTGGTAATATTTATTTAAGCCAATACGAAATAATTGATTTTTCTCTTTTTGGAAGTAATGCGATATCTATAGTTTTATGAACGTATTATAAGCATACTGATAAAACGTAAATCACTCTCTTGAGATTCCCTAACCTCTGATATTCTTGAGGGAAATTTATTTTAGTTTCAGTACCTACGTCAGTATAGCGCATTGCGAATTTATAACAATATAGTTCTTTATCCGTTATGAAAATAATAAATTGAATGTATATCATGGTATAATATCAATATATAACGCGCCTTATACTTTACAACTACTTGTCTACTAGACAATTTTTAATTTTATACTCTAGTTGTATTTCAAAAATATTATGTTATAATATATCCTAAGCGTAGTCCGGCTCGCGCGTTGATTTTCATTTTACAAAATTATGTGGTGGCTCAGTCACCACTAAAGGCAAATATAATTCGTGATAAATAGTAAAAAAAATTTGAATGAACTCAAACGTTACCGTTCCGAAAATGATGAATTAGTACAACTACTACAATATGCGGTGCATGGCATTACATATGCATTATATAAAACTGAAATATAAGTACGCTGCTATTATGAAAATTAAAATTTTATTCATGAAGTTATACGAATCATTTGTTTTAATTTATCAGTTTTTTTAAAATTAATCTTTAATCGGAAAGTTAGGGTTTATCATATAAAATATTTGAAAACTTATTCTCAGACTACTACAAATAAATAGTTATTATATTACAATACTATTTACAGAAAATTGTATATACAGATAGTTTTAGACCGTACTCAAAGTATTTCCAGTGTTCCTTTCTCAGGTCTCAATTCTATTTCACCAAATTTCACAGATCATTTAATAATATAATATGGATTTATACCATTATGTGTTTGTACCACGTATTACAATATAATATCTTTTGTAGACATACATAAATAAACAATATTGTTTTATGGCGTGTGACGTGTGGTTTGTGTTTGAAAATGAATGTCTGGGACAAGAGAGGGGAGGAGAAAGGATACATGATGATGGTTTTTTTTTGTACATTGAAGAAGGAATGCGCTGCTTATGAACGAAATATTATTATGAAATAATAATACTATAAAATAGTATTTCATATAGGTACGTGTATTTTAATTTGTATATTATATTAAACAGTGAAAATGTAAAATCAATTGGGGTTTAATAAGGACAATTATAATTTATGAAGAAATAATAAAGAATCGTCCGAATGTATTTTGTCTGTTCAAAAGGTCTGTCCGAGTTGCATGCCATATATGTACTTTAAAATAGTCTATTTGAGCTGCACGCCATAATTTAATATTAAATTAATAAAAACTTAATGGTATTAAAGAGAATTCTAACCTTTTCATCAGACTTTGAACAAATATGAGACTGAAAATACCTATGTAGTTTTATTACTCTTGTGGTGTAACGACGTATATTATGGTGAATAAAGTCATACAAACTTTATACATGAGTTAAGCATTGTTATTAGGTACCTATTTATTATTAATATATAAAAAATGAATAGATTTTTATTTTATTTAATAACATATACATAAACTATTAACTATTTTTATCATTCTAAAAAATGATTTTATTTTAAAAAGTCTTTGATTCCTATCTACGTATTACTTTATAATTAGAAGATTAATGTACTAACTCAAATATATTTTTTTTTTTTTAGATTCTGAACAAAGTGATGAATGTATTGATTTTACAATGATGTGTGTTTTTTTTTGTGTCTGTACAACATAACTAGTTGAAATAATGCTTCAATTTCAAATTTCGGGGGTGGTTTCCGATGTAAAATTGAATATCCTTGATGCATTATAGAGGTCAAAAGTAAACATTTACCAACAGTTTTCTAAAAAATCGAGAAAAACAAAAAAAAATGACAGAAAAACGAGAATTTTTACACAAAACCAGTTTCCGACCACATCGATTTTTTTATATGGTTGTAATTCAAAAACTAATCACTGTAAATACTTGAAATTTTCACCAAATATTTATGTTAGCGTTATCTATATACAGTTAAATTTTCACAAATTTTTGACTTTTTTTGAGTTATTTATAGRCYACTGAAATTTTCAATTTTTTTGAGAATTTTTTTTTGAAGTGCCGGTAAAAAAAATGTTGGGTGACCAAAAAAACTTGAAAATTTAATACAAGGTTTCTTATGAGTTGTTCTTATTGTAGCTAAAAAAAATTAAAAATTTAAGTTGAGAAATCATAAAAWTTTTTGTGTTTATAACTAAGGATTAAAAATACAACACTAAGTTGTCTATTAGTTTTCCTTCAAGTAGCTATAGAGAAGACTCAAAACATCATTATAGGAAAAATGTGAAGTGCGTTTGAATTTTAAATTTGTTACGCTATTTCGTAAAAATTTAAATACGATTTATCCTCAAACGATTTTAAATATTTTTTATTATTCAAAAAGTATAAATCGTAAATTCTTGAAAATTTTACCAGTTATTCAGATTGGCATTTTCTTTACATTATTTAATTTTCAAAATATTTTGACTTTTTTGAGATATTTATAGACAACTKAAATTTTCAATTTTTCTGAAAATTTTTTTTTTGAAGTGTTGATTAAATGTTGAAATTCATAAAAGTTTTTCTTTTTAATTCTAAGATTTGAGAATTTAATACAAGGCTCATAATATATTTTTACAATAGCAGTTGAAAAATAAAATAAATGTATAGCCACAATTTTTTTTACATGTATTCAAATTTTAATTTTGACAACATACGTAAAAATCACGAAAATTCGCAAATTATTTTAAGCTAGAAATTCATAAAAAATTTTCTTTTTAAATCTAAGATTTGAAAATTTGTAATAATCTATAATATACCTTAGACCGATAAACCATCTCCGTTCAGAATCGTTTTTCGTATAAAATGATACCTATCATTGCATTTAAATTTAACTTACCCTAGTCAGAGGCCCACCCCACTCCCTAATGTACAGCAGAGCGCATCCACTTACCCGCTTTTTTTTTTTTTTTGTTACTAAAATGTATGCACGTGATGATTGTCGAATTATTTTTTAGTGAATGTGACGACAAGTACCAGCTCAGTAAGAAGTATTATAATAAAATATATGATTAGCGTGAAACATAGCTTATGCCTTATACAATATCATCAGAATCACTGGTATTAAATAAACAAGGTATGACAAGATCGAACATCGTTTTCGTAGATAAACAGAAACTTCCGGATGTAAAACTTACTGTCACAAGCTACAAAATAAAATAATAAGTTATCTTTTCCTTTAAATAGGAAATAATATTTTGCGACATAATTACGTAATATATTTTGTGGTACGTGATAAGACCTCCAAATCGTAGCTATATCATGAAATTCAAAGACATGGCTTACAACATATAAAACAAATATATTTAAATCAGCTTACCTCGTAGTCGGAACGATTGCCGGATAGCGGATGTTGTACCAACGTGACGAAAAATAATGGTCCCCAAAAGATCACATACGCTGCAGTAATTACTACGAACATCTTGACCTTTTGGACTCCTTCTCTCTCAATTCGCAACAAGTAGTTGCGCATCCTTTGGTGCTCTTCCACCGCACCCAAGCTTCTCTGCAAACAAACCGAAAACCGAATTGTTAATATTTTTGATATAATTTACTACTGGGTATTATATGATAATACATATTAGATACTCAGACTTTAAATTACATTATACCTATTGTTAATAAATAAGAAAATAATAATTTTATCTTAAACTTGGTGAACAATTAATCTGGTTTCGCCATTAAAGTAGTTATAACTTACATAAAACAATGTCGTATCGCCATTGTATACGTTTTACCTTATCACAATTTATTATATTAATATTTATGTACGATGAATTAAATGAAAAAAAAAAAACCATTTTATAAATTAAGTGAACAGAACAAATTAATTGGTATCCAATTCCATTTATAAGTGAAAAAAAGTTGTACACTGTTTATTGTATTTGTTTACAATACAAAATGTTAAAAAAAATTAATTTGATTCCATTAAATTTATAAGATATTTTATTATTTACTGCTCCTTAAAAATAAATTGATTTCAAGAAATTCTGTATCTTGTGATTGTTTATTATGAGTGTTTCATAATGGTTACTGTTTCTATAACACAAATTTTATCTTTCAATATAGTTCAAGGTAATTGTTTCCATCTGTTCTTTGATTCTAGCATATTATACTTTCGATAGATGTAATTGGCAACAAAATACCTCAAACTACAATTTTCAAATGACCACTTGGTGACAGTTTAACGAAGTTAAAGTTGCACATCTTAAAAGGTTTTTAGAGTGTATATTTTATTTATTTGTATTGGACTTGCGTAAAGAGCTTAAAACAAACTTTTGTCGAAACTTTGTCTTACATATATTGGCTCGTCAGCGAAGGATCCATTGAAATATTTTATTTGGTACAGTAAAGTAATGTTGTTTAAAAAATTATTGTTTTATAATATATTAAACACATTTTTATCGATTAATTTATAATTAAATAAATTATTTTTAAAAGTATAAAACCGTTTCATTTTTAATGAGCTTAAACAAGTTTTTGGTTGATAATGCTTAAATTTACCTCAATAATTTTAGTAAATTGACACCCTTTCAGTCCATTCTTCAAAAACTGTAGAAAACTTTTAGTCTCATAACTACTAATAATAAATTTACAAAGTATACACAGTTTTTAAGATATTATATATAAATCTAAAAACTATGAATGCTATGATAATATCATGTATCATTTATCATTTCTCATATTTTCTTATTTACAATTTCCATAAATAAATTGAAAGCTCATAAAATATTTTTTGTTTGTAAGACATGCAATATATTTTAGTATGGATAAATAATAATTAATTGTAGTCTTTTACAACCATTATTGAATTTAATTTATAAAACCAGTACCTAAAAAAATTTAATCATCAGTATCATGCATAATGGATAAAGTTATATACTTTGGGAATTGAGATACATAATTAATATTGTTTCATAAAAGAAGTTTCAAATATGTTTTAAAATTGTTTAAATTATCATAATATATAAATAATTTATTTTGTATAAAACTTATAAAAACATGTAAATTGCTTAAATTAAAATATGTTAAGCTTAGAAATAAGTGGTAATAGAATAAATCGTATCTATATAATATAGTCTATTTTTATTTATTTTTTATTGTCGTTTGAATGTCTATTCAAAAACTTTTTTAATAAGTTGATTATTAATTTGTTGGATTTTTGTCTTCTGAAAATATACATCTGAACGAAAATACATGGTCTGGAAACTTGTAATTGGAAAAGTAAACTCGTTATTAGATTTTTCGCTTCAGTTCGTTATTCTCATAGGAAAAAGATGTAAAATAAAGTGTTTCTGAAGTAAATTTCTTGATAAAAACTTTAAATAACTCTAAATTATGCATTCAAATTATTTTTTTAATAAAATATATTTAACGTCTATATTGTTAAATTATAGAAAGTGACAGAATCAAACTCTTTTTACCTACCAATTACTACAATTGTTTTGAAATATTAACATGTGTATGATATTTTAAATAATCTTGTATGTAGCCAATGAAATGTACTTATTTGCAAGTTACTACTTTAATAATTTTGGGTTTTTGTCGTATACAGCTAAATATGTTGAGACGGAAAAAAATTGGTTTATAGCTTGAGCGATTTGGCCAATATAATTGTGGAAACAATAACAGCACAGTGAGCGCTCTGATTGATCTAGCTATATTTTCTCACGGCGGGACAAAAGATAAAACAATATAACCATGACAATCAGATTATAATAAAATAATAATAGACCCATTTATAAATCATCATTTATCATACACCGATATAGAACGTTGTTGTTCTATTTTATTTTTAATTCAGCCTGTCTGTCTTAACCAAATAATGTAATAATTTATAGTATTATTGACAGCTCATATATTTTGACAAATTAATATTTTGTATTATAATATTTTCATACTAACATTAAATAATACTATAATAGCTTTGATGATGAGTAAATTTCTTTTTGAACTGTAATATTAATATTTTGCATTAGATAATACAACAATAATGCATCTATTGTTATAATAATGAGTAGGTATATAATATAATACGTATCATAACTATTATTATATTATTATGGTTTATGATATAGAATTGAATTGTGGTATACCTCTCTCTGAGTGTACAGTATTCTAGTGAAGCTGAGACGGGTGACATACCATGATCAGGTATGGTCAAAAACTCATGTATAAAGGCAAAAAAACTGTGTCGTAAGTAGTATTTATGAATTCCCTTGAACGATGAACCAGCAACCGTGGTGTAGCTAAATTGCCTAACTAGGATGCCGTGTCACAATTTTATTGTATTATTGTATCATTGCAGGTACTTCATGAAAATGTAGATAAATTTCAAAGAAGACGTTTTGACTGCATCCATTATTTATATCGAAAATATATTGTAAAAAAACGGCACAAGAATCTACACATATTTCTAATATGTAAACTCGTTCATTTATAATTAATATTATACTAGTCGCCCAGCAAGATCTTCGTACATTTTTTAATTTGGGAAAATTTAAAGTTCTACAAATTCTACAAATATTATAAACATTATTAATTATATGATAAATTACAAATGGTATTTGGAACCGGCAAAAATCATCAATTCAGATACTTTGTCGAAACTACGGTAGCACATAGTATGGCGTAACATAACATGGTGTAAATAAACAAATGTAATGATATAATATAATAACTTAAAAGTGTATGGAATAATTAACGATAATTTTTGAAATGTATTACATCAATATTCACAATTTTTTACACAATCCGATTTTAATATTTTCGGATTCGTATAAATAATTTTTATCAGCTTGGCTATCAGTTACACCTACACCTATATATGTATATGTTATGCACTGCATTTGTATAAATGTCGTGATTATTTGTCTGCTACGGAATCACTTAAAGTCACGACGTAACCACGTGAACACAATATATATTTTTAAGGTTGAAAAACGTTAGTCTTAATTTTCTTGTATACCTACTAATTAAAAATCATACTTTAAAATATTTAAATTGCTATAAATCCGTTGGATTCATAAAGTATAAAGATTTTATATTTTGTCAAGCATGAACCATTACTTTTATACTAAATTACTAGGCAGATAATTTAATTTTTTTTTGAAAATGCTAATGTTCCAAAATCAAAGTTTGGACGAGAACCTAAGTTATTAAACTGTATAACGTAATAAAGATAAGGCAATAGATTTAAAGATATAGAGGAGACTAATATTAACTATTAAGGTAATCAATATTAATCTACTACAAGTCTATAACAACTTTTTGAGTATGGAATGAAGATAACAGATTAAATTTTACATATTATATTTTATATTATTTTCAAAATCATTATTATTATCACTATCATATTTTAAGTTTTATATACTTATAGTTTAAAAGCTCAAAAATGACTCTCTCAAAATTCAATTATGATGCTTCAAAAATTTCAAAAATATAATCACGTGATTAACAATTTTCAGTAAAAAAGGGGAAAATAAAATTTGAAAAAAATGGTTTCACTACAATTCACTCCTTAAATAGCTTAATTAATAATGTAATAAATTAAAACATACCTAGCTACTTAAAATAAAAAAATTAAATATTAAAAATCAGCGTTTGATTCACAATTAAACGTGAAAACGAAGATGATCATAGACTTTGAAAATCACTCTGTATACTGACCGAGTTTTTGTACTTCTCTTTTGAGTTGGTCTCCAAAATTATGACTGATACGATAGAAAAATCATGACCGTACCGTAACGGTAGACATCGGATAATATAACCACCATATTTTGTATGTTATGAAATCAAGTTGAATTTCGAATACTTAGGCAGCTTGACKTAGGATATCCGATATAATATCATTACATATATGTTTTGAAATGAGAAGCTTAGATGTAAAATAATATGTCGACGTTACAGATCGACGTCGGACACACACTTGTTGTATACACATCACTATCAACTATATTATGATCGAATAAATTTACAGGATGCAAATAGTAATCCCTAGTTTTTATATTTTTGATACTTGATAAATATTTATAAATTTATAATATGCACGTTTATAAATATTCGTAATAGTCTTAAATGCGATTTGTACAATGCATGGTTATGCATCGTTTAATATTAGATGAATAATATATAAATTTTATTCGATGAGTTGCGATTGAAAAAGATTAAACATATTTTGCATTCAATTATTATTTTAAATACTAGTTGAAAAAATGTTTTTAAATTAAATAAATTTTAATTTATAACACACGAGGAATGCAGTATATTTAATGATGATTTTATTCAAGTTTTTCAATTGCGTATAGGTACGTGTAATATGAATAATATAAAATAATAGTATAATAATATAGTAATAATATTATAAAATATTGTAATAATATTATAAAGTAATATCTAATATGTGTTATATGATATATATTATTTCATGCATATACAATCATTATTCATGATCGAACGATATATATTATATTTTAATCTAAATTCTATTATTTATTTATTTATTGA